CTTCGTTAACTTGGAACCGGGCGGGAGCGGCCGCTTAACGGCTCAGCCGAGCGCCGGCGGAGGGAGCCCATCGCAACCCTACGAGGTCTCGTCCCCGTGGGCCAAAGGCCCGCCTTCCCTGGGCGTGGCCAGGCGCTATAATATCCCGGCCCGGGTGACAGAAGCCCTCGTCCCGCCCCTAGGCGGTGCCGAGCTCCAGCCCGAGAGCGCCGAGCGCAGGTGTGTTGCGAAGATCGCGGGCAAGGGCGCGTTCTCCGACCGCTGCGCTCCCATTCCCAGCCATGCTGCCCGCTGCCGTCCGGAGGTGGCTGCACAGACCCAAGGTGAGGCCGGAGCTCTTGGGGATTTCAGGAGCAGCGGTCCCGGGGCGCAGAAGCCGGCCGCCTCTTTCTGCCCCCCTGACTAGGCCTGGAGAGGTCCCTCTGGGGGAAGCTGTCCTCCTTGGCGGTCTTTCGCCCCGAGCGCAGCCCGCAGCCCCTCCTGGCCACTTCTCCGCCCGCCTTTCCGCCTCTCTTTCTGGCGGGGAGCCGAAAGAACATCCCGGTCGGGCTCTGACTTTACCAGAGCGGGCTCCTTTGTCCGAGGCGCCCGGGCTCTAAAGCCGAGCTTCCCTGGTCTCCAGAGACTTCGCCCCTCCGGGTGAGACGCGGGCTGGGTGGGCTGAGTAATCGAGCGCTGCTTTCCCCACTTTTCCGGTGACTGCTGGGGAGTGAAGGACGGCTGCCATCCGTCTTCGTAACCTGCGCTGTAGGTGTCCTTCGGCATAACAGCGGGCGATACCCTAATATGCCGTTGTACACCATCCGTGAGCGTGGAATTGGCCGCTCGGTGTTCCGTCCCCTTTGTCTTGTCTGCCTCGTGCGTTTATTCGCGGTGTTGGTAAATCTGGGTCCTCATGATCGAAGCGGTGGGGCTGTAGCTGTGCTCAAGACGTGCAGTGCGTCTGCGCTCCATCCGGCGGCAATTGTTTTGGGTTGTCAAGCTCTTCGTTTGGTTTGCCTTTCTGTTGTTTCTTGGCCGTTTATGAGTTGAATCTCCAGGACACGATATCAGCTGTTTCTTAGCTCCAGGACAAGCACATGTGGCAATTGCAAGTCCAACTTTCATCCTGTCTGTCAACTTTGTGCCACCAGCAGTGCTACGAAGGTGTTTTCCTCCATGAGCTCCGTTCGGGAATTTTAATTCAGGACCCTGGCTACCCTAGTATGGGAAGAGGCAAGCCTTTGAGGCAAGGCTTACGATTCATGGTGATATCTGTCTTTCTAGAATGTAACAAGATATGCAAAGTGTTGAGCAAAAAAAGGAAGGGGAAATCAATTCTACCATAAACGGTAACTGAGAAACAAATATGTACAGCTGAGAAACATTGTATCAGTCAACAATCGGTTTAGGAGCCTAAACCTGCCAAAATTCTGGATGGGAAGAAGCCCTGTATGCTGCATTTTGTAGCAAAAAGACACTGGCCATAGAGTAGTTGTTTAGGGACGGAAGATCTAGACTAAGGGTGGAGCTGAGTCTCTGAGGTTTGTGTGTAAGTTGTCTTGCTGCCTCAGTTCTTTAGGTGAAGGTGTGAGTACAACAGGCTTTACAGGGACTATTGGTTGGCAAGAGAATAACTTCCTGCTGATTTATTTATGACTCACTTTCCACTCTGTCAAGTTCAAGTTTTGCAAGGTATAATTTGAGGAGAATGCTATACACCTGGTAGACCAGCAAAGATTGCCATATGGTGTCAGCTCTAAATTGCATTGTATTTCTGTGGCTTCTAGTACTCTATCCACCTCATGTACTGCCTGCTTCTTCTCCTGCCCACCTTGCCATCTTTTCCACAGATGCATCAGCCTTCAAATTCAAAAGTATGATAATTTTTGCTTCATGTTCCTTGCTTCCAGTGAGCATTCTGGCTTGATTTCCTCTAGCATCCAATGGTGGGTTCTCAGGTGTCTGATGAATGTGAAGCAGCCTACTCATTAGTTCAAAGGAGTCAGTCTTCTTCCTCTTGCATCCCTCACATCTGTACATCATAATAGGGAACACCATTGAGTTGATTATTCTAATTTCTATCTTGATTGAAATGTCTCAGTCTTTCATGAGTTTATCTAGGGCTCCCAGTTTCTTTTTGGCAATTGTTCTTCTGAACCTCTTTTGCACACTCACCATCTTTATCAATTCTGGAGCCTACTAGAAACCAGAGAAATGTGTAATCTGGCAAGACATGTGTAATCTGGCAAGAGCCAGGATGGCTTACGTAGTTTTTAATCCATAGAGTTACCAGGGGCCAACTGACTTGATGGAGCATAACAATAACAACAAATGACATTGGAATTGCTAGGTAAGGCAGAGATGAACAGGTTTCAGGCTTACAGGATCTACTTTGCTACTAGAATCTTGAAGTCCACCAAAAATACAGAAAAACAGTTTAACATGACGTGACTTTATATCATGATTCTTTCTCTCTCTATATTCCTGATTTACACTCATGGTAGAATTTATATAACTAGTTATGCAGGTATTGTTTGATTTAAGATAACTCGGTTTCACTGACATCAGAGGAATGCATCAGTTGAACTTCTCAAAAATCCCAGCACAATCTCTTCCCAGTTTGGTATCTTCTGGACCTGTTTGAACTTCAGCCCCCAGAACTCCTAGACAGTATGCTCAAAGGAGGGTGTCGGGTTGGGGAAAGATTTTCTAACTGAACTAGTCTATAATTTGTTTTAACCATGCTGCGGCCTAGAAGAACACTGAGGGAGCAAAGCTGTGCCTGAGCTCTATACTCTGAAATGTAAGTGGGAGCTGCATGTTTTCCCATTATATATTAACCACCTCCTTTCAGCTTCTATTTTCTATATACATAGATTTTAAATTTTATACATGGAAGACTGTGCTGTACCAGACCCTCACCACATTACTATGCAGATTAGACAGGTTGTTTTATTAAGGGCTGGGAGCTTGCAGAAGCTTAGCTCATCATTTTTTTAACTTTTAGCTTATTTACACCCCACTCCCATAATTAACAGTGCTGAAAATCAGTCCAGTTATTTTGTCACTGAACTTCAATGGGATGATCTGGGGATGATTTTGGAGCCACAGATTGAAACTGTAGGGCTGCATGTGACCCATTTGCAGCAGGGAGGGGGGGTTGAACAATCCTGCTCTAAAAAAAAATCAGTGACCATACATGGTATGTAAATGATATCAATTGTGTGGAAGTGGTTCTTCTAAAAAGTACTTCTATTATGAATTCCTGAAAATCCAGTTCTTGATTTTTCCACCACAGGAACCCAAAATATATCTCTGCTTATCTTTTATAATAGTTATAAATTGGAAACTTAGATTGTTATTTCCCCCCAACAGATGTAAACTGTATAGAAATAACATATCTCTCCTGTTAAAAGTCACAGCATTATCAAAAACAAATACGAAATGCATAGGAAAGAAACGAAGAAAATAGAAATCAGTAGGAAAGGTGTTCGGTACATTGCAGTGTTACACAGAGGATCTTGGTTTAAATCATTAATTGGCTGCAGAAAGCTCAGATTTCCTCTTATGGCACTAACATTTGTTTATACAGCTGTGAGATAGTCAATGTGAAGGGCATAGGTCTTGCTTAAAGTCTAAAATCATGTGTAGGCGCTAGTAGAATTCAAAAGTGAGTGTAGTGTATTGCTGCCACTAGGAAGATAGTCATGTTTTCTTCCATTAAGTTGTCGTATCACCAACCCAGGTACATGGGGGGAAAAGAGGTTTGATATGATTGTCACTTACATCTTGTCTGTGTTCTGGTGGTTCAAAAGTTAAAGTCACCATTTTCTTGATTGTTCTGCAGCTTTATAGATGAACATTTTAAGTAATCTACATGGTAAGAAATTAAAGCTGTCACTTTTGTGCAAACCAAGCATATAACTGATAGTGAAATCAGTAAGGCCTTTCTCTACAGCTTTAAGCTACTTGACTCCCATACTTAAATGTCTAGAAATGAAGCCAGCTTAAGACAGTACTTTCCACATTTCAAGCCCTTTAGCCACAGTGATGTTCTGTCTAGACCAGAGTTACCACAGTCCCCATTTGGTGGATTCCCTTGTTTTGTTGTTGTTGTTGTTATTCTTCCCACTCATGCCAGGAAAACAGGCATCAGTCTTTTCTTTCCATGGGCAGGCCTTTTAGGACACGAGGCTTCCATTGATAGACCTTATGTTCAAACCTAGGTACATTGACTACCCCCCATATTTGACACTTTCTGTCTGTTTGGAGAAAGGAGTGGGCAGCAAGAGGGAGACCCATGGACCTTCTTACCTGCAGGACCCAAAGTGGCTGTGTCCCCTGCCTTCACTAAATTTATGTCATTAGCCTGTTGGCTAAACTAGAAAGTTGAAAAAAACATCCTTGGAGAAGGCAATGGCAAACCACTTCTGCATTATTAACCAGAAAATGACATGAATTCATCTATGAAGTCACTAGGAATTATATCCTACTCACAGGAAAAAGCTTCTTTCCACAAGACTTGTGGTCACTACTACCTGTTCAAGTATGTATTGCAAGCAGTATCCCACAAAGACTTGCTTTGCTCAGTAACCAAATTGAATTTGTGATCATCAGCTTCTTCTTCCCAAAGTCCTCTCCTCAAGCCAAACAGCTCAGAGACAAGTGTGGGGTAGTTATCTTGTTCCATGGTTTGGACCAAACAGAAGTCATGTGAAAGACCTTTGCAGCACCTGCTCTCTCAAATCACAGATGACTCAGAAAAGGTAAGCAGAATCTTATTTCAAAACAGCTGTGGATATCTACATCCTATAATTTTAATGACCTTTAGTTGAAAAGGTCAGGAGTTTTGGTGAGTTACAAAGCTCAGAAAGACTATTGTACTGTTGGGCACCTTTAGCCAAAGATCTTCAGATTTTCTGGTGATCTTTTCAGAATTTCATTATCTTGGGCCTCCTCTGTAAATATCCCAAGCTGAGCCAATGTTGTGTAATGCATTTAGCTTAGTTTTAAAATCATAATGTCATTGAAAGGTTAAAATAAGGTTTGCTTAACAAGAAGCCCTTTCTGGAAATAATTGATTTAACCTTTCAGTTCTTCTCAGTAAAAGAGAATCCCTCAGCAGCTTTTTCTTTGAATTGATTCTAGGATTAAATAATTACATACTAACCCTTGTTCTCTATCCTGTCTTCCTCAAACGTCGGCCCAAGTGTGTGTTGAATGGCTTCTGAATTTTTTCTTATGTTTCAAGATTTAGTGTTAATAATTATCTGTGATATTCCACATAAAAGAATGTCTGGATACAAATATTTTCAGCATAATATGTCTGGATAGTTTTGTT